CTGCTGGTGCCACTTCCTCTCCTGTCATTAGTAGAGCAGGCAACTGTTCCCCCTCCGAGCTCATGATTGGACAGCTCCATAACACGTCGATTTGAGAGAAGTGGAGAAGGTGCACACATTCCCATACTCTCCCCTGGACCTGAAAGCAAACATCCAGGAGGAAACAGCTTAGAAGTGTTAAATCGTTACAAATTAACAATATTTTATTTTGTTTTTTAAAAATTCAGCGTGTTCCAGTGAAAACATTACTGAACAGCTAATGTAACAATCGAAGGTATATTTAAGCTCAGCAGTTGTAGTTCTATGTTTATGCATCGATTTGAACTTGTTTTATGACACCATGTACCAGGTATTGCAGGAAGCTTGTTGCTGCCACCGCGTCCAGGAGGGGTTGGCCTGCGGATTTGTTTCAGCTTGTCAATCTTTAGATTCTCCAGCCTCTTCAGAGCCTGCGCTGACATTCCCATTGTTCCCGGCTCCCCTCCACCTCCTCCTCCACCTGCAACACCATCTTCCAATGCTGTGAGGTCCTCCAGACTACCGGCTGCATTAGGGTTCATTTCTACACCGCTGTCGTTGTTGTTGGTGCTCCCCAGTGGAGAACGTTCGCTACTGCAGGAAGACTGACCGCCAGGGCTTGGTTGGGATTTCTGGAAGATGTGAGAGACAAAGTTAACTTTAAAAATGGGATAAAGTTTAATAAGAAAATATGAAAGGGGTCCCTATTTTTTCCACTACATTGGAGTTTTGATATGTTATTCATTTGAATGATACAGAACAAATTGTAACCCTCACCAGAGAAGTCTCAGGAGCCAATAGTTTGCAGTCTTCTCTGCGTGCCTCTTCTTTCTCCAGCAGCAGTTCAGAGTTGGGACCTCCAGGGTTCATAACTGAACCGGGGGGCCGAGGGCCAGTGTCTCCACGATGTTTCTTGGTGATGTGGGCCTCAGGGCCGTGCACGGTCTTTACATGTTTACGCAGAGAGCTTGGATCTGTGTATCGCTTGGTACAACCAGGGATTTTACACACATAAGGTTTCTGTAAAAGACAAAAGCATCTTATGTGAACTCCTTGCATTCCACAGTTTACTTTACTGCTGCTTCCCTGCTATGTAAAATCTTATGATTCAAATAGAAATTATTTCCAATTTATGTTGTGTATCTTGGCATGTGAATCTCTACAATACATTTATATTAATTTATACAATTATTTTACATGAAAGCGTGTAATGAAACAGCACAAAACAGTTACATGTTACCCTTTAGGAAGAAAACACATGGTTTAATCAAATAACACTGTTAATAATACAGAGCTTCGATATAGGTTTTAAGGAATGGAAGACCAAAGGAATTCAGAGACTGAGGGACTTATTCTCTGACAATGTAGTTATGCTATTTGACCAAATGGTTGAAAAATATATTCTCTCCCCAAACATGACTTTTTCCGTTACTTACAGATAAGGCATTACATTTCACATAGTACTAACTTTAGTGAGAGTCATGAAGTCTCTCCTGTTGAAAAATTATTATTTTTAACAGACAAAGAGGTACCTGTGAAGATATTTTATAAGGCTTTATATTCTGTACTTTCAGTGATGTCACAGAGGCTTAAAGGCACATGGGAAAAGAAGTTAGGTATAGCAATTGATGATGAAGAGTGGAAAGATGTCTGGAGTTATGCCAAATCAATCTCAGTTTGTAATCGTACCAAAGCAATACAGTTAAAAATCATACACAGAATGCATATATCCATATTTCGCAGACATCAATACAATCCTACCCTTTCACCCATGTGCCTCAAATGTAAGACAGAAATTGGTACCCTAACTCACAGCTTCTGGTCATGTTTGAAATTGCAAGAATATTGGTCTAATGCGTTATCTGAAATGGAGAAGATTTTCGGTTGTGAATTGGAGATGGACCCTCTGTCTCTACTGGGCCTCCCCAGCCGGCGATTAATATCCAAGAATAATAGGAGATTGTACTGTGTTCTCACCTATGCGGCGAGGAAGAATATACTACTCCAATGGATTTATGAAAAAGCACCAACTATTAAAGGTTGGCAAAGAGTAGTGTTGGATCTAGTGCCATTGGAATATCTCACATGTGTACTGCACTCAAAAACAGATCAATTCGTTAAGGTGTGGGAACCATACTTGAATTATGTGGAACCTGATGTTTCTAATATTATGTTACAAGGATTCTCTTGAGTGTTCAAACTGCAACGTACTACTGGGACCACAAGTATTGTACTGTATTGTATTCTCTCTTTATTTATTTATTTATTTTTTAGATGAAACTGAGCTGGTGTTC